CTGTCTTTCATATCCATGTGACAATATTGTAGTTACCTATTTATGCTATCTAATCCCTTCCCCTTCTCCCTCATCCCCACACCCCTCCCTACTAGCAACCATCTGTTGTTCCTCTATATCTCTGAGACTATTTCTGTTTACTTTGCTCATAGATTGTCATCTAAAAGGCTACACCAATTTACAATCCCACTGATAGTGTAAGAAAATGCCTGTCCCTCCTTCCTGTCAGGCATAAAGTTTGTCATAGGTAATTCTTTCCTGCTTCTTTTTATGAGAAAACAGTACCCTTATGAAAAAATATATCTGAGCTCTAATAAGGGATTTAAATGTTGTTTATTTGAATGCTAACAGTTGATTAGATTATATAATACATTAAAGTTAAGATTTTGAGGATCGCAATGTAAGAAGCTGGACCCAAAGTAACTTCTGGACCTTAGAAGCACAGGATATAATATCCCTTCTGGACCCAACATCATCCTGGCCTTTCACCCTCTCAGGTGACATGATGATATGATGTGAAAAGGTATGACCACCAAATATGCAAAGTCAAATATTAATTTCCTATGCTCTGTAGTTATTATGATCCCTTTATTTGTGCATTTCTAATCTTCTTTTTGATGATACACAGCACATTTCACAGAAGTCCCCAAGTATTTTTGAGTACCATGGGGACTGCTTTCCTAGTGCTCAAATTGTACCAGTGTTATTATTGGTAATTCCTGAGGAAGGAAATGTTTTGTTCAGTAAGTGTTTTAATTTAAATCTCAACACACCACTCCACCCATGGGAAAAAATATCATGTGGAATGCTCCACCAGCTTCTCAAACCACACGCCACAGGGTGCCTGCCGGTGGACATGTATGAAGCAGTGTCTATGCTCCCTGATATGCTGTAGACACCAGTCTGTAGAAAGATGGACTCTAAATACACCATGGAACATTAGAAAATGATCTCTAAGGATTTCAGGAATGACTGTGGTTGAGAGTTAGGAGCTTTACCATGAGAAGGAAGGGGGATGCTTCTAAAACAATGACTAGCCCGTCATTCTTTATCCTTCATGGTTAGTGCATTTCTCTACCAAAGATTCATGAGTTACTGGATTTTGCCTAGTGAGGATTCATACACTAATACTCTTATGACTAGTAACTTACAGGTAAGTTTGGCAAACGTGTAAAACTTGTATAACTTTGTGTACTGTGCATATTATTAATGATGTTCTGACTAGGGGTTACAAAACCTCCTGAAAAGATTAATTAGAGAGAACAGAAATGTTAAGTGTATTTTGTTGTTGCCGTTTTTCAGGGGCAGAATAACTTTCATATCATGTGGATCTGTTTTGTATTCACAGTTACCTAGGAAAGCACTGAACCCTCAGTTCAAATGCACAGACATGTTCTTCCTGCAGTTTGGACTTGTCTAATGGGCCTTCCTTTGAATCAACACCATTATTCTATTCACTGACATGAAGAAGAGGATCAGAGTCCATTACCTACCTGACATGGTCATAAATCCATGTTGTACAGCAAAATGTTGTTTAGCCTATAGACTTTCTTTTCTGTGTTGTTTCACATTAACTTTTTAGAACATCATTTAAATTTCACTTTCTTGAAACTTCTGAAGATTCCTCTGGGCGCATTTAACCCGCATGTTTCTTAAAGCACAAACTTTGCAGTGTGAATTTATATTCTTTGATCCAGTGCTGGCTCAGCTGCAACAGATTTGGCTTGTTTCTGGAAGGATACACCTAAAGAGAGATTAAAAGCAGAGAAAGCTGCCTCTGTTCTTCCTGATTAGCACAGGCGTTCCTGAGTCAGTGCTGGCTTCATTTTCGATGCATTAGACACAAGGCCAATTGGATGGATGTTTGTGCATGTTGATTAACCTTGTGCAACATAGAGATTTAACCTGAATCTTTAGTTCTTCGTGTGAAGTCAGGATTGACAGATTCTCAGAACACCTTTTTATTCTTTTAGACTTTGAAGTGACGCAATTTATACTAATTTGGGTTGGTCAGCGTGCCTTTGCCGGAAGTGCTTTGAGCTTATGAAATTTATCTCCAGTTACTCCAAGTTGCACTACACTGAAACTGCTCAATATTCAGCTGGTTAGTTGAAGTTTTCCATTTTGAGGGGCTACATTTTGAAAATGTATATTTTGCGAGGAATTATTCATATCTTCCAGTGTTTTCAAATTTATCATCACATATTTGCACATAGCACTTTTTTAAAAAGAAATTTTAAGGTAGATTTTTAAATAAAATAAATCAGTAACTTCTCTTTAACNAAAGGAAAACTGTCATGGCATTAGCAGTGGTGGTCTCTGGGTGATGGTACATGATTTCCATTTTCTTTCTATTGTATTGTCGGAAAAGTCATGGCATATGTTTTCCACGTTTTTCGTTGCAAAAATGCGTGATGACTTTTCCGACAACCCAGTATAATACTATATTTTCTAAATTTTCTACAATAAGCACACATTAGTTTTATACTAGGACATAATGCTGTACTAACAACCAAAAAATAGCTTAAAGCTTAACATTGACTTATTTAAAATTTTCATTTTTATTCCTTATAAATGTAGAAAGCCTATTATTTTTGAGGTGAAGGGCTGAGTCTTAGTCTCTAGATTCTGTTCCTTCAGCAGGTAGTCAGTCCTTGAGGGAGAGTCCCACTGTTTCAGGGGCATTTACTGGGCTCTGTGTGTTTAGGTTACAGTGACATCTTTGGGATGTAGGTGGCATCACTGGTTGCCACCATTTGCCATTGGTGCCATTGCTGCCGGCAATTGTGAAATGCACAATTATAATTTGATTTTTGTGATATGGGCGGTTAATTAGTCAGTTATCTCAAAGATTGTGGCATGCAGATGGAGCTCAAATCATTTTGTCACTGCATTGGTTTACTGGAACAACTTCTTCACTGATCTCCTTACCAACAGCCCCTTGCCCCTCCTACATGTACCAGAGCAAACTTCGCAAATGATTTCAAATTTACTGTTCTCCTTTAAGTGTTTCAGTGGTTCTCATTAGCTTTCAGATGAAAATAAAGTTCCTTAGCATGTCATACATATTCAGACCTCTGACTTCTTGCCTGTACAGCCATCTTCTTTCATTCTCTAGCCTACCAACTTTTAGTTTTCAGAAGGACCTAATCTCTTTCTCCATTTCCCCTGTTTCTCTCCTTCTCTCCCATTCTGTTTCATTGGCCTAGAATGCCCTTCGCATTCCTTCATCTGCGTATTTCCTATGAGCCCGTCCAGACTCAGTCCAAAAGTCGTTTCTTCTGCGAGGCCCTTTCAGCGCCACACCCCTGGGGCTTCTTCCTTTTCCTGTCGCCCTCTCACTCCTTCCCCTTGTGGAACACTTGTCATGCTGTGTTTTAACTCTTCTTCCTGCATCTGATGCGAGGTCCTTGATGGCAAGGACCCTAGTTCACCCCTCTACTCCTAGCACTTAGCTCCTGAGTAAATAGTGAAATGCTCATAAGATATTTAACGAATGAATGACTATTAGAGCTCAGTCACAGTAGTTCTCATATAGTTTTTCTTTTCCTACCTTCATCGTGTATAAAAGGAAGATGAAAAGGTGGATTCAGTGAGGATATGTTTGAAAAACAATTAGCATAATGCTTGGCACATAATAATAATTTTTTTTTAAATTCTCTCTTTACAACCCCTATCTAGTGTTAGCGTCCCCACACCTGGTGGCTCATGGCTCACTGATACGAAAGGCCCCACCCAGTCAGTGCCTCCCTGTTAAATACATAATGAAGACTTCCCAGTCAGCCAATATTTATGCTGATCATATGTACACACTGTGACTTTTGTACTATTAAATAACAACCTCACTCACACCCATAGTCTCCTCCTCCCTCATAAGCAAACATTCCGCATCTTCCTTACCTTTAACTCAGTCATCTTACTAATTACAGAGAAACTNACTTCAGTCTTTTTCCTATTAACCCACATACTTTTCTGCCTTAGCTAAGGGCTCTTGACAAGTACTTTGCCAAAACTTGTAATGAACTAAACACACCCTTATCTTTTTTTTTCTTCCTTGTTTTTAAATTAAAGTTTATTGGGGTGACAATGGTTAGTAAAGTTACATAGGTTTCAAGTGGACAATTCTGTATATATTACATTGAACACACCCTTATCTTTAGAGAAAGAATGCCCCCTTTGGTCCCACAGGAACACTATTCCTAGACCAGTAGGATTTTTTTGTGGTCTTTTCTTCTCTCCCCTCTATTTTGCTCCCTGGGAATGGTATAGAAAGAGGAATCCAGGAGGAGCCTGCTGCCCTCCTGACTGATGTGTTTTCCTTTCTGAGGCAGCCTGTGGTGCAGGGCAGAAAGGAACTGTGGACTTGGAGAGAAACAGGGAGAGGCTGGAGTTAATAGAGACGAGGTGTCATGTTCCCTCCATTCCAAGAGAGAATTCTCTCTTTTAGATCTTACGCTTGCTTCCTCTCAGCAGAAAACAAGCCTGCCTGAGCCTCTCATCAGAAAATCTGAAGATTGAGGGAGGAAGGAAGGCGCTAACTACATAAACTAGTTGATTGCCAGAATATGATAAAAGATTTTTTTTCTTTTCATTTCTTTAGATAATTATTTTTCACTGACACATTTTATGAAATTGGGGTAGGTGCAAAAGTGTTAAGGTTCCAGTTAACTTTATAGCACTTGCTGTGTGATTTGGTCCTAAAGTACTAGAGTTTAGTCATTGGTGGAAGGGTATTTATTGACTCTATGCTGTGAAGATTGTGCTGCTGTAGGAATAGATAACACCCATTAGAAAGAATTAATGGCTAATTAGCTGGAGATNAAGCATTATAAAAACAAAAAGAAGAAATTGGACATCTTTACAGTTTCATTTTAAAATGGTTATTTCCACTGCACTCTTTTTAGAATTTATAGTAGGGATTCAGGGGTCAAATACACTATTCTCTAACAAGAAAGGAAACAGGGAAAGTTAGCGATTATTAGAAAAAAAGCAGGACTTACCATTAAAATGGACAGGGCCCCCGTGGTTCTGAAAAGGAGCCAAGTCATTGTCTGCGAGTTCCCTGGCGAGCAAGTCCTAGGGAGCTGCTGCTTCAGTCCTTCCACCCGTCAGCCTAGTCTCTGCTGTCTTCTGGAGCCTACGGATGACCTGTTATGCGGTTCCTCCCCACCCTAAACCAAGGATTGGTCTCACCAGAAACACTTGAATCACTTTTGCTCCCAGGTAAAAACTTAGACACACCTCAATTCCTAAAGCAATGGAATCCTTTGTTGGAAGCTGAAAGAAATGTTCACAGGCTAAAGACAACGTTTAATAGGAGGGTACCAGATGAATAATAAATTAATCATGGTGTAGAAGTGCAAAAGCTAGCTCTGACTACACTGAAAAAGAATCTAGTTGGCTTCTTCTCAGGGTTCCAATGAAAACTGAAAAGCAAAACAAAACATACAAAACCCCCTAAAGCCTAACTCCGGGGAGAGCATTTATTTTGAGCCTGTGTATATGTGGAAAGATCTAAAGTTAAGCAAAATATAGGTGTTATTGTCAACAAAATAACTACAACTCTGAAGAAGAAAACCACCACATTAAGCAACTAGTAGTGGAAGTTTTGAATGAAAATATTAGAAATAAAGTTGGAGTAAGCAGTTATACAGTACCTTCGCTATTTAAAATATATAAATAATGCATCGCAAAATCAGATCTCTGACAACAACAGATGCCGTCTTTTCTATTGTGTTTCTTTTCATTTATAAGTTTTTTGAAAAGTTAGGTTGCCGAGTGAAGTAGGATATCTTTGTGCACTTTTAATTACTCAAGACATCTCGCCCAGAGCAGTCAGCTGCTTGCTGCTGTATAGTTGTGCACTTCTAAATATTTGGACTCCAACCCAAATTAGGGGATAGGAGAAAAACTGCTAACACCATTTTGATTTTCCTATAACATTAAAGTTAAAACAATTTGGAATGTTCATAATATTTAAAGAAAGGTTTGGTAGGAGAGCAATTTTATATATATATAAGTATGTATGCATCAGGTTTTGGAAACTTTTTAGTTTCAGGGAAGCCATTTAATCTCAGAATATTTTAGGCAGAAAGGATTTTGTAGTCTAGGAGTTGGAAAAGAATACCATGTAGGCAAAGTCTTGCGTGTGTGTGTATGTTTAATTGTGGTAAAATGTACATAACAAAATTTACTATTTTAGCTGTTTTTAAGTGTACAGCTGAGTGGCATTAAGTATATTCACATTGTTGTATAACCATCACCACCATCCATCTCCAGAAAAATCTTGTTTTTGTAATAAGGTTTTTGTAAATCAAGTTTTATTGGAACTTAGACATGGACGTTTGTTTATGTACTGTATTGTGAATGGCTGCTTTTTTTGGAACAATGGAAAGGTGAGCAGAGCTGAGTAGTTGGACAGAGACTGTATGGTCCCAAAGTAAAAAATATTTACTAAATTTTAGAAAACACTTGTTTTATTTACTTTCAGAAAATGTTTGCTGACCCCTGGTTGACACCATATACCTTAAATAGTACCTGTGACAAATCTGATGGGTGTTGAGTCAGCAGAGAAGTTAGTAAATCTTTTATTTAAATGATTTTTTGTTTCTAATTTTTATAAGAGTTTATTTGAACCCAAACTGATGACAATTGCTAGGAAGCAAGATCTCAAATGCTCCCTTTTAGTAAATCTTTTTTTTTTAAAGATTTTTATTGGGGAATTGGGGAAAGGGGAACAGACAAGTTGCTGTCTTTTTGTTCTTCAGTCTAGTTATGGAGGACGTTGCTTCACTGGCCCAAGTTGGCACCATCATTGCGCTCTTC